CTTTCCCTCCTCCCTCCGCTCTGATAACTCCTCCCTCCTTTACTCCTGAGCAGCAGCAGAATCGGAGGCCTTGGTAGGTTTAAGTACCAAGCCTGAGATGACTTGCTCTCCTTATGCTGGTCTGGTTGTCTTTCCTCTAGGAACCCAAGGCTCCTTTATTATTAAAATAGGGCCAACCATTGGGGAAAGGGGTATTAAAATAAATGGAAGAAACTCCTAGTGATATGTCTGTCCCAGAATAGCTGCTTAGAAAAAGAGAGCTGCTGTTGGTTAGTCACCGCTGTATCCATCTCATTTTGGCTGGCCCATGATCCGGACACTTGGCAATCCAGGCCTTTACTCTGATGTGTGGGAATGGAAGCCCCACACCCTTCTATAGAAGGGCTCTGACTGTTCCTTTCCTAGGAGTTCCACGAAAAGAGATGTTTTAGAACCTCCCAAGGACCAGCCAGTCCCTGTTCAGCCCAGAGGTCACTCAGGGAGAGGAAGTGAAAAAAAAAATTTCTTGGTCTAGCCAAGGCTGCTCTGCAAAGCTGGAAACCATAAGGAAGACCAGAGCTTGTTCCTTGGTTGACCTGAGCATGCTGGGCAAGCCTGCTGGCTGGACACTAGCTGACTGCAAGGGCCCGGGAGGGTCTCTGCATGAGACCCCATTGTGGGTGCTCCTTTCTCTCTTAAAGAAATTTTCAAAAGGGGTCTAACTGGAGAATTTTAAGGAATGTGTGGGAGATCCATGCCCTTGGAAAGGGAAGGGCCTGACTTGTAGGGACTGTTGGGCATGTTCTTACCCACCTTCCCCTTACTCTTCTCTAGTTTGAGGCAGAATCAGCTTTGAGTCTGACAAAACCTACTTTGGCTCTGATGCTTACTATCTGTGTTATTTGACCAAGTTAGGCCATCCCTGGGCCTCTGGCTCCTCTCCTGCAGAATTGAGGACTATAATAGCTCTCTCTAAAGTGTTTTTTGCAAGGCACCAGCAGTTGGCATACTGGCTTGTCACTGGACTCCCATGTAGTCAGCTGCAGTTCAAATCCCATATCTGGTGGCTTAAACTCACCCCGGGTGGGCACATGTGTGTGCCTAAGATCCTGGGAGAAGAACGGAGGAAAAAGGGTTTGCGGTGTGGCCATCCCCCCTGGGGGGGGGATTGATTTCTCACTCTCTGTCTCTCTCTCTCTCTGTCTTTCTGGCAAGCGCGTCTCTCTCTGTCTTTTTGGTTAGCGCACATGCCCTATAGCAAAAGTGGTTTTGTGAGAATAAAAACCCAGAGCAGAAGCTTGGAGTTAAATCAAATCTTGTCAGGATTCAGTTCCTGGCTTTTGTACTCTTTAGTACTGTGGAGCCATGGCTGAATCACTGCAACACTCGGAATCGGGGTACGTGCAAGGATGTTCTGAGAATTAAAATGAGATAATACGCTAACAGTGCTTCCCACGTCTGGTGTACACAATAGCTTAATAAAAGGTGGCTATTAGCACTCAAAATCCCCAACCAGAAGAAGATAGTGGAAGCTTTACTAGGACACTTTCTCCAGGAGACCACTTGTCCCTCCAAGTACCCTTTGGTCTTTCCCTGATGTCTCCCCATCTATGTCTCCTGTACTATCCTCACACCCTACTTCTTGCCACATTCTTTTGTATGGATGATGGCTTTCAATTTTTTTCCCTCCAACAGAGGCAGAGTTTTCAGCATCAGTTAAACTGGGGACATGGGTGTCTGTGGGGGAGAAAGTCATTTATGTGTTTATATTAGGAATAGATTGCAAACACACAACTCTTTTTTTTTTTTTTTTAATCCTAGAATTAAATAGGATGGGAAAGAAGACAGCTCTGATTAGTCAATTATCTGCTAACCTTCCTCCTACTTGAGTCTTTGCCTCGTGGTGATTTGATTTGCGTTCCATAAATAAAATGATGCCTGGTACTGATTTCCAGTAGTTGGGAGATATATTTCTATAAACAACATAATCTGATTTGACATTTGACATTTCCTTCCCCTGCCCAAGTCCTGCAGATTTTTTTTTTTGAGTTTGACTCATGCCTTTTTATTAATGATTTCTAAAGGTAAAAAGAAGAGCGATCTATTATTCTGAGACTTTATCCTTCTTTCATTAAGTCTAGTCTCCTGATGCCTACACTGTGCCTTGGGCACTGAGAGAAGGATGGGTTCTAGCTCTGGAGGAGTACTCGATGGGATGGGTATGTTACAGGCGAGCTCAGAGACAGACATGTAAGCGAGTAACTAACGAACAGGACAGTCGGCACGAGGGTGACTAACATAGCTTGCTGAGTGAATGACTCAAGAGAGATGAGTAGTTCTCTCAGCAGGACAGGTGTGAGTGAAAGTCAGCAACTTCATTACTATCATCACTTTCTCATTTACTCATTTGGGTTTTAGGAACATGTTGAACCTACACCCTCCTTGGCCCATCCAATGGCTCTATGGGATTGAGAACGGTTATCTGTTCCGTGGCTTGTATAATAACATCCATTCTCATGGTAACTGCATTCCTTTGTCTTTGAGGACCGTTCCTCTCTTATTTCAGGTAACGTGGTTTGGGCGGGGTTAATCCTACTACACCAACTTTCCGGGGGTGACCATGTGACTCATACCTGTTTACCAGGGAAGTCTACATGTCTCTGGCCAAAGTGGCTAGTTTAGTGTTGGGCATGTGATCCACACTGGACCAGTTAAAAGGAATCCCAACCTTAAACAGATATGGCTTATTACCTATTGATGATGACGTGTACAGAATTCTCAGCTGGATTGGTCTGAGAAGTATTTCATGATGGGTAAAGTCTTTTTACAAGCAAAATGAAAAATAGTGATTGTTTAAAAAAAAAGGGAAAATAATAATAATGATTGGGAAAAACAATGAAAAGATATTGAATGATGAAGTGGGGAGATTAATGTCTCTCTATTGACTGACATGCATGGCATTCCCTTTTGAAAAAGCAATGTAATACACTGTAAAGTTATATGCAATTCAATGAATATAAACAAGATTATGATGATAATTAAAAAAATTAAAATAAAAGAAAGAAAAGAAAAAAAGAGAAATATTAAGCCACTACCAAACCAATCCCCCCCCAAAAAAAAAAAGAGTCCCAAACTTTAGTTAGAACTACCCTAAAGACCCACACCCTGTATTGTGCTGGAATTGCTACATGGAGACCACCAGGCTGTTGCTTTGTCATCACTGAGGGAAGCTGCCTGAGGCTGAAATGCACACAGAGGAAATCAGAAGAGGACACAGGCTTCTGATGACCTCTACACCCCAAAGCCCATTCTACACTTCTCCACTGTAACAGAAGTGCCCTAGTATGGGCTGGGCTTTCAGTCACCCATCAGAAACTACATTTCCCAACATCCCTTGCAGCAAAGAACACCCATGTACATTTCCATAGAACAAGATAGAAGAAACCTGTCTTGAATAACCCTGTGGGGCAGAGATGCATAGCAACCTTGTACTACCTGCTTACTCTGGACTGTTTTGTGAGAAAGAAACACACGTCTCTCTTGTTTGAACTGCTGCTCTGGGGCTCTTTGTTTTATTGTGTCATCAGAAAAGTCATGACGCATTTTTCTAAGCAAAAATGTGTCAAGCTTTTTCCAACGACCCGAGTATTTAAGCCATTTGAGCACATGGATATGGCCATGTGTGAGCAAATTTAGGTGTACAAAAGCAGTGTGGAAGGGACCAGCAGATGGCGTAATAGTTACATTGTTGGACTCCCATGTGTTGGAGTTTTTTTCTCCAGGATTTGGAAGACCATTCCCTGAAAGAAAAAGTCTGGACAGTTGTTGGGAGCAACTGACAAAGTTTATTTGTGTCGGCAATTCTTTTATACAGTTTCACTTCCGGGGTTACATGCGGGCAAGCAAATACTGCCTGTGCAGGGAGAAGAGTGTTCTGTAAAACTTTATGGGGAACATCTTGAGTTCTGGGACATCTTATGATCATGTCTCAGGGACATCCTGAGTTCTAGGACATGTTTATTGCAGCAGGTTCCGGAAAACCAGTCTGTGAACTTGGCCCTTTGCCTAGCTCTGGGAGGACCTTCTCCTCCTCAGACCCTCCAGAGGTTGCTGGTAGGCACACCACGTAGTCTACCGCAGTTTGAGTCTCAGACCCTGTGGCTTAAACTCACGCTGGTCACGTGTGTGTACGTGCCCAAAATCCTGAGAGGAGAATAAAGGAGAAGGGATTGCAGTGTGAACATCCCCCCACGGGGCGTGATTTCTCACTTTCTTTCTCTCTGTCTCTTTCTGTCTCTCTGGTGAGCACACGCACCCTATAGCAAAAATC